CAAAATTATGTTTTCACTGCCTCTTCTTCATCTGCTGCAGTCAGTCCGGTGGCCCACAACTTATTTTTGTTAGATATGAATGGTGAAGAGGGCTTAATAATTCCCTAACAGCAGGTGGTAATGTTTATCCTATCAGAAAGTGATCAGAGAACACACCAGACAACTGCTAGACAAAGTGTCTCCTCCCTGTTTCCCCTTGAGTTTGAAAAGCATCGGACAGCTGGCTTGGTGCACTGTTCCGTTGCAACATGCAAGATGCTTATGGAATCCATCTTGAGTCCTCTGCTGATGCTTGCCCAGTTCCCTCACCTGGGTGGAAGCCATCCCTGTGGGATAAGATGTCTGTGAGAGAGATTGCTGCTGCTGTGATAAAACCACCCTGAGAATCATACACTACAGAGTAAGATGATAGGCAGAGTAAGATGTTTCAGGCTTAAATTTGTATTGATAGCTTTGTACAGAGCCACTGAGATAGATTAGAAGTGTAATGAAGTGCGGCATTTTCAGCTGAGTCCACTGGAACATTCACACTTTATGGAACAGGGCTTACTTAAGGGTCTCCTTCCCCTGAAAAGGTTTCACCATTAGTTTAAGCTCCCTAAAGTATGCTTGACATTACATCCTTCAGGGAACTTACCCAGCCTACACACAAAGAGGAACACTGCATTCATTTCTCAGGACTATTTTTGGAATCGTTAAGGTTGTGTGAAATAAACAGCATTACATTATCCTTTTGCCACATAGCTCTAATTGTAACAGAATGAAAATCTATTTTGGTGAGACATTCAGTCCCCATGGGCGTGAAAAGTTCACGGCCAACCACCTTTCTGAGAATTGAACAGCTAATCTCATGATGGATGGAGTTTGCTGGTGCATATTTTACCTGCCTACAGTTATGTAGTTGAACAATTTATTTTATAAGAAAAGAGTTTCACTTGGCTCCCAGAGAATTAAAAATAGGCATAAGAAAAGAAGTCTTTGAGCTTATAGCTGTATTGTTATGATAAAAGTTGACAGCTGTAGGAAGTTCTGCTGAAGGGATTATATTACATTACCATGTAAACAGAAACTCTTTAGAGAAAGTTGAAATTATTTTAAAATAACCTACAGTTACGTCTTCCATTCTATTTAAATTTTCAGTGGACAAAAAATAGTTTCTGACCATGGAGAACAGCCTATGTTGTAAGTAATACATTATTAGCAGACAATGCATATTGTAGTGGTGGGAACATAAATTTGACAGACAAGGGTTGAATTCAAATCAGTACAGCCCTGATGTGAAAATTTTGGAAATAATGAGTTTTAAGACAATACTTTTAAAATTAATTGAAGTCAAATTCAGATTCTGGTTGTGAATTTTTGGATGCAGGCAGACAAATGGATGAAGCCCAGGTTTCAGTGACAAAATTTGAACCACCTTTCATCCATTACATTCTTTTTCTAGAATGTAACTTTTATTAAGTGAAATTATAACATTTTTGATATATGCAAAGTGCCATTTCAGCAGGAGTTTAAGACTGGGTTTTCCTTTTCTCCTTTACTATTAACATGAAACACATAAATTAAATTACCTACATTCAAAAAACACTGCTTGTTTTCTAAAATCATGTATTATTATATAATGGAATATGTGATTTTCAAAAACAAGCAATGTTGATATTATATAGCAACAAAGTCAAAGGACATTTAGGCTGCAATTCTGTCCCTATTTACCTGAGATTAAGCCCCACTGAATTAAGTGGGAGACTTACTTCTGAATAGACATGTGTGTTCTTATACTAGACACATACAAATCAATTTGCCTTGTGGAAGAGTTAAGGTGCATGATTTATGCCGTAAAGCTCTTGCTGGACTATATCACTTCAGACTGGAGGTGAGGAATTGCATTTTTTTTATGTGCTTGCATATAAAGAAGACCCTTTATGTGAAAAAAAATACCGTAGCTAGAACATTGGTGCAATAGGTTCTGAGAGGGAAACTCTTAAACAAAAATTCCAAGTGCAAGTGTATATGATGTTTCTGGATCATGTCTGCTGAGTGCTGGAGTGATTACAAAACATTGTCATTTTAAGTAGAAAAACTTTAACAAAAGCAAGTGGTTTTTAAATTTTGTTAAATGTGAATAAGATGGAAAGTGTGGAAATGGAGGATAGGATGGGTGGTTTTAAGGAAAGATCAGCAATGTTTTCTTGATGGTTGCTTAAGGATAGCCTGCCAATCAGAATTTACTAAAAAGGGAACGAGCGGAAGGGGATGATGGATAAAACCAGAATAGCCCATTGATAACATTGCTATGTTATCAATGTGGAGTGAAAGTTTGCACAGTAAAAGCCTCATACTATCGCACTATGGAAACCAACTTAAACTAGTGCAGGAATTGTCAACAACTTCTGCATTCCTGGGACCTATTCTGTATTTGAGACTGGGATCCAGTGCCATTCTGCCACACAAACTCAGCTTGTTCCTGGGTGGTCCAACTATTAAAATTCTCGGTGCTATGCCCTCTAGCAATAAAACTTTCATAGTGGAATGCACATGGCAGAATGAGCACTGACTAGGGAACTGCATTTAAAGAATACAAAACCAGATAGAGAAGCAGTCTCCCCAGATAACTTTTTTCACTGCTCCCTGTTTTGCAGTGCCAGTCTTCCTTTGGTGTAGAGTGGCAGTCTTCCCAACACCTGGCAACCACATCCCCCCATCAGAATGACACAAAAATGTCACATAGTGTCAGTCTTAGGGTATTTTGGCAGGGGGCATGGTGGTGGTTGGCTGCTGTTAGGAAGAGTGCAAATCCCACCACCTGTACATTCAGCCAGCTTTCATTCCTCTGAATGCGAAAATCACCCAAATGACCCCCCAGTGAATGGTGGTAAAAGGGGAAGGGATTTTAGCACTATGGGACCAACTCTGTTCTCTGTTCTCTGTTCCTTACATAGGAAGATGCCTTAACTTATCATATCATTGGTCCATCTTGCTTGGTATTTTCTACGTCGACTTGCAGTAGCTCTCAGGATTTCAGAATCTTACCTGCAGATGACAGGATTGAACCTTGGACCTTCTGCATGCAAAGCAGATGCACTGAGTTATGGCCCTTCAAATAAGGGCATTAGCTAAAGCAGGAGTGTGAACCTTTGGCGCTCCAGGTGTTGCTGAACTACTACTCCCATCAGCCTCAACAAGCATGCCTGATGGTGAGGGATTATGGGAGCTGTAGTGAAGCAATACCTGGAGGGCCAAAGTTTCCCCACACATTAGCCAAAGGGTGTCATCTTCCAATGGGATATTTCCCAACAATCAAGGGACATAATTTTTAAACCCTTGATGTCCCATAAGTTCCATTCACAATAATCAACAGTTGTATTTGCTTAGTCTTGCTCAGGTATGCCACTGAAACAGAGGGTACAAGACTGAACTGTAGCAACAATGAACTTAAGATATGCCCATTTCAAAAACCTGTGCTGATAAGTGTACAGAATTATGTGCCCACATATTGTACTTGCAACAGTATTACTTCAAAAGCATCAGCCATATTAGGATGGTATTTTAGATTTGGGTCCCTATAGAATGAATCTGCTTGGTGCAAAATCCATTTATGATGCTCCTTATTTACAACTAAGGATCTGGTCCTTGAAAGAAAATGCAAAAGTGTTATTAGATAGAAAGAAGCAAACTACTTTTTTCACACCCACTAGGCAACAGGTCTTGTTTTGCAAACAGCATGACTCTAAGCCAACTAATACCTAACGAGTCATCATTCCTCACTAACTTGGTTTAAAATTTAACACTGTATATTTACAAAATATGCTTGGGACATTGCCAGACCAACTTTATCCCATATAGCAGTTCATCATAAGCATCTGTGATAGAAACAGTATTTCAGGTATAGGGGACCTATGGCTCTCCAGGTGTTGCTGAATTGCAACTTCCATCATTCCTGGTTGTTGGCCATGCTTGCTGGGACCAATGGGAACTGTAGCAACACCTGGAGGACCAAAAGTTCCCCAGACCTGCTGCATAAGTTTGTGTTTTCTGATGAGCTATTTCAAGGTTCTCTACATCTTAGAGATATAGAGCCATGGTGAGGTGCAGCATACTTAAAAGAGTAAGGAGGGAAGTGCCCTGTGTATTGAACATCTTTGTGTGCTCTGGGTTTAGTGAAAATTTGGGAAATGCTTCTGTTGAATTTTTCTTAAGATAAAAAAGGATGTCCTGGTTGGCATCTCTATTAACCATCAAGCTAGAGTACAAGCGCTATCTGAAGACTTTCTGTGACCAACTTAAGAAGCAGAAAATTATAAGATCTGTTGATTTCAGGGGACTTCGGGTTTACTTCCAGAAGTCCAAAGCAATTGATATAAGCTTATAATATTATTCTACAACAATGTTCAAAAGGTTCAAAATAACTTTGGATAGCCGTTTCTTAATCTTTTAATGAACACATGGGCCTGGCAGAGTTCTCATCAAACCCTGTTGAAATGAATAGGAGCTGTGTAAGATTACATACTGCTCTCATTCATCTCAATGGGGTTTGTGCAAGGACATTTTCTGCTGGGTTATGTTTAAAACAGCCTTCCTCAACCTTGTATCCTCCACATCAGGGTTTCCCAGACTTGGGACTTCAGCTGTTTTCGGACTACAATTTCCACCATCCCTTACCACTGGTCCTGCTAGCTGGGGATGATGGGAATTGTAGTCCAACAATGGCTAGAGACCCAAGTTTCTGAAACCCTGCTTCAGATGTTGGATTGCAACTCCTGTCTTCCCTGCTCATTGGCCAAACTGATCGGGGCTGATGAGAGTTGCATTTCCAAACACCTGGAGGATACTAGGCTGAGGAAGGTTGTGCCAAAGACTTTGTGGTGTTTATATATTTATTTTCCACAGCCATCAAATACTTCTAAATAATTGTTTTTGATGGAACTGAGTAGTCAATATGTGTAGGTGCAAGATGAGTTTTCAGATTTTCCCATTGTAAATCTTTATTCCTCCACCCCTAGACTGGGTCTGAACCATCCCCTCAAGGACACATGGAAGGACGTCCTGGGAGCAATGAGAGAGTTGATGAGCCGGCTCGTCATGTCTTCTCTTTCTCCTGGTTGAACTCATTGAATGAATGATGACTCTCCATCCAGCTGGCTTCTGGAAGGATTCATAGGAAGCATGTGACTTGGCTCAAAGTGATAACAAATAATGCATTAAAAGGAATGGTGGATCACATTTTATCCAAAAGATTTTGTTTGAAAAAATTCTCATTGGATTTGACTCTGTAATATTTGTGGAAGCAGCTGTACAATTTGGGAAAGGGGTGGGAGGGAAGAAGAAATGTAAGTTAATAGCTAATCATGAACCAATGGAGGATCAAGTTCCTACCAGCTTTGGAGGTAATGGCAGGTATCAAGTGGTGACCTTATTACTTGTCAAGGTCACCTCATTGGCTAGGTACTGAGTTTATGTGATAAGGCTTTATCTAAGGAAGGTGATATATGATATAACAAGCTATTGCATGATTATTGCAATTGATCCTAAGTGTGCCGCAGCAAAATTAATGTCAGAAATTTATGTGAAGAAAAGAAAGCAGCACAATACTGTTTTTACAAGTAAAGTGCTAAAGGCACACAAGACACATCTGTAAATTGGGGACTTCTATACGCAGTTTTACAGGAGTGGTTTACCAATATTCTTGCATAGCTGTTTCTTCACTAAAGGCATTGTTAATAAACTTCACATTACACAGGTTGACTCTTTACCTTACCAGCAAGCTTTTCAATGGATGTGCATTGGCAAAAGCCACACATTATAAGGCAGGCACAATCTCCACCAAGCCACACAATTAAGCTCTGCCTCATGAGGGTTTGGAAACAGTTTGATGGTGATCCCCTACACTGCATGGCAAAACCACACTGAAATCTGTAAGAAGGTTCTTAAGCAGTTTGTAATGTGCCAGATGGAGGAGTTGCTATCCGAACAAATTACGTCTGAAATTCAGTGGTAGTAGAACCCTTGGATGTGTTTAATGAAATGCCCTGCATTGTGGTCTAAATGCTGACATCCTGTTGATCATTATGAATGCGTACAGAGTGACATCATTCACATTTTGTACTCAACAACATCAGCACACTCTTCATGTACTGACATACCCTACTATAGTAAGGTTAAAATTAAGTGACGGTATATGGGTTTCCCACCACCACTACCATTTGATCCTCACAACATCCCTGCGAGGTTGGTTAAGCTGAGGAATAGTGGCCGGCTTCAAAGTCATCCATGGAGCTTCCTGGCTGGGTGGCCATCTGAACCAGGGTCTCCCTTCCTATCCTAGCCCTGGTCCACTCCTAACTGCTCCAGCACACTGCTCAAATGAATGAAGGAGTGGAAGGGTAGGGTGACGTGGGCTGGAATAACTTTATCCCATTATGAGACCACCAAAGATGGCTAAGTACTGTCTCAGGGAGCGTTGCATCCATTACTTCAGGGTTAGCTCATAAGATCACAAAACAGAGGCTGGAGATCTGCAAAAATGGGGACGTCAGATCTCTGCTCTTATCGTGCTGTACTCTCTGTCCCCTTCAGGCTCCTTCGGCTATGAGTGGAAAAGTTGACCGGCCTCTCAATTGCCTAAATTGTGAGAGGTTGTTGGGGGAAGTCTAACTTGAAAAATACCTAACAGCTCGTTCAGAAATGTGCGTCTTCTTCATCGATCTCCATTGAAAGATTTGTCAGCAACAGATTCCCGTCCAAGTTGGCTCAGTTTCAACTTATACAGTCACAGCTTCTTTCTTTAAAATAACTTTGTCATGGGCTCTTTCTCCGCCCCTGCCCCCCCCCAACACCCAAAATGTAATAAGCTAAATTTCAGTGAAATGAAACCGGTTTTCGCATCATGTTCGAAGACGCAAAGCAAAGGTGGAAAGAAGTTGTGTGTTAAATCGGAACGGATTTTTGTGTGTGGAAGGAATAAGTATTGTAGATGCATAACGTCAGATCTGGGTAGAAACGAAGCGATGTCAATCCCACTTGCGTTACTGAAAGGACTTAGGAAGGGGAGGAAGAATGAGGAGTAGAGGTCTGAAGAACAGATTTCAGCTGGAAATCGTTTTCTCTGAACTAACGAAGCTGGGTTTCTAAGGGAAACGTCGACAAGTCAGTGAAACATCCGCTTCATCTACTCCACGGGTGGATTTTTAAACTTTGTGACAAAGCGGGCCAAGGGCAGCCCCCTGGGAGTGAGCCCTATTGAAACCAGTGGATCTTACTTCCGTGTAAAGGTGCGCTCAACTGGAGTGTTAAGAAATGCTCCTATTCCTTGCAAAGAAGAGCAAGGACCCACCCCCACCCCCACCCGGGCTAACATGAGCACCCTGCAGAGTTTACTTTGGAAAACAAGGGTGGGGAATCTGTGGTCCTCCAGGCGTGGCTGGGAGTGTCCTAAAATGAGAGGAGACCCAGGGCCTCAGCCTTGGCAAGTGGTCTCTTTCTCCCGGCTGGAAGCCTTGCCCTTTAATCCTAGATGTGTGAGGATAAATTCGTTAGCATTCTGTATACGCCCAGAGGCACTTTCTCAGGGGTAACTAAGATCTGGAGCTGATTTCCTAGCAAATTCCGAGTCAAATGTAGCACTGGAACTGCTGAACTTCCAAAACATTGTCCCGGCACCACCACCACCCGCCCCGCCCCTTTTGCTTATACTGTACTATTTCCTAACCTCCCTTCACTTCTTTCCTATAGGTAGGTTACCTATGGTCGGATGCTGTTCCGCCTTAGCCCCACTCAGCCTCTACTTCTCTCTATGCCACGATCGATGCATTCCCCACTGACACGTCTCCGAGGCAAGGAAGTGTAGGAAGCCGTTGTTCCTTTGCAGCTTTTATTAAAAATATAAATATTAAACGTTCTCTTACACGACCAAATCGACCGAGCGCTGAAAAGATGTTTTATTTGTGGAAATGTTTACAAAGAAGAGAGAAAGAGAGAGAGAGAGAGAGAAAGGAGAGTGGCTTCCAAATAAAAAATAAAATAAAATAAATAAAGCTCGATACAGAGGAGGACGCCCCAACCCTCTCCCCCGCCCACCAACCCCAAAAGACAAGGCTCTCTCTCATTCGCCCAGCTTCCAGTGGCTGAGCCGCTGGACCCCACCCTCAAAGAGTTGCATTAATCGTAACAACGAGGGAAGAGGAAGGGGGGGACAAAGAGTTAGGACAGCAAGTCACAAACGACACTTGGGTACAACGCTGGGCATGCTACTGACGCGCTAGGTTAGGCTGCGTGTCGACTGGACACTCTCTACGTCGATCAAGCTCTCGGTGAAAAGAAGAGGAGAACAGCACGAGGGAATCTGTGTAAATATCGTGTGCGAACTGGAGGATCTCTTTGGTAGGGGGCGGGCGGAGGGCAGAGAGCGCTTCATTTCCCGATGGTCTCCAGCATTTTCCTGTTGCTCTCGACCTGCTGCGACAGCTGCTCCGCTCGGGCCATTTCCAAGAGTTGCCGGAGGAGGTGGAAAGTCAGGTCTATGGAGATCGGCGAGTCCTTGGACGAGCGCTTCTCCTTCGCGGCGGCGTCGAGGGGAGCCCCGCTGTCGTCGTCGCTTGGCCAGGGCTCGGCGGCGCCCTCTAGCGAGCGCTCCCGCACGTTCTGCAGCTGCTGGACGGCCGCTCGGAAAAAGTTGCCGGCCGAAGCAGACGCGGCGAGGTGGCTGCCGCCCGAGGCGGAGGAGGAGAAGGAGAAGGCGGCGGGAGAGGGGGTCTTGCGCAGGTTGCCCAAGCGCACGAAATACTCTTCTCCCACGCGGAGCAAGATGGGCAGCGCCTGCGGCTGCTCTTGGAAGAGATCCGGCTGCTGCAGAGCGGGGTCGGCTGGGACGCTCTTGCCGAGGGCTCGGCACTCATGGCAGGGCAGCAGAGCGACCAGCAGGATCCCTGTAGAGACCAGCAGCTGGATCTTCATGATTCGGCGGCCAGATCTGGAAAAGTCACAAGAGGGGAAGGGAATGGGCATAGTTTGCTTTCAGACGGACTCCCGCCCTTGGGTCGGCAGACCCTAGGGAGGGGAAGGGGAACGGATCCCCGCCGGCAGCTGCTGCTGCTGCGACGGTCGCTGTCCGCGGTGCTGAAGGTCTTCCATAGCTGTCCCCTGCCCTATCGCAACTGTGAATTCATCTGCACCATGGCCCAGTCAACCCAGTCAAATCCGCTCACAAGGGGAAAGTTTGCATCCTCCTCTTTGGGTCAAGGGCTGCCTCGACACCCGTCTTTATTAAATGCATCGAATAGAAAGAACACGATGGTTTACCGCGCAGCATAGCAGTTTATGGGCTAGGCTACTTACAGGTCAGAGCACTGGACAGGTGGTACTTTAATCAAAACCTTAGTATAGGAAACCCAGGTGTCTCAATCATTCAGAGCAAGCAAAGTAACACCTTCCTTTATTTCTTTTAAACGCTGCTTGTCTGCTTCCAGAAAACCTTCTGTTGCCCTTAAATAGCCCTTTCTATCATGATCCCAGAATGACTTTTTATTTAGACTACACACACACACACCACACCACACCACACCACCTGCGCTTTAATAACACACACTTATCCAAACTACCCAGCGGCAGTATCTTCTCAAGAGAAGTTTGCCTTTTGTGCATGTGAGGCTAACCTGGATATTTCCATACCTTGGAGATGCTGGTGAAGTTTAAGCCGGACAGGTGGAGTCGCTCAGCAGTTGGGTGCCCCCTTTCGTCTCCCTCTCAGGATCCGTATCTATTGGAGCCGTCTTCTGCCGTCCTTGTGATCAGTTTGCTTCCTAATCAGAGCCCGGGTGCGGGATTTTTATAGGTTAGACCCTCTTCTGGAATCACGCAGCCCTTGCCTAATAAGCTGACGCTTTCTTGACAGCTCGCTTGCGTGCCCCGATCCACTGCTGAATAAATCATGGGGGCCGTTTCAGAGCAGCAATGGGCAACGTCCTGCTATCACAACCCAGAATCTCACATCCAATTATATCAACAGATATTTATCGCCTCGTTAGTGACGTCAGCAAAGCCCGCGACCGGGGAGGGGGGATCAGCAGGACACACTTCCCATTGACAAAAACCCTTGAATGAAGAGTTCCCAAAACGCGTGGGGGTGGGGTACAACAGCGAGCGCCACCTTTTACTATCACAGGTCAAGGTGACCAAAAACTTTCCACTCTGGTCTCAGAGGAGAAAACCGTCTGTAACTGAATCCAGCTTGTCTAGTGCATACCTACAAAAGGCAAAATGCCTCTCCTAAATTCCTTGCAATGGAAAGTTATAGGAAGAAGCAAATATGGAACATAAACTACCTTATGCTGTCTCAAATCACTGATCTATCTAGCTCAGAACTGCCTACACAGACCGGCAGCAGCTATCCAGGATTTCAGCCTGGAGTTTTCCCCCAGCTCTACCTGGATATGCGGGGACTGAACCGTCTGCATGAGAAGCAAATGCGTCCCTCTCCAAAATAAAAGCTGGTCTAGCGGACAACCACCTCTCCTGATCTGCAGGAAAGGGAAACCAAGCATCTAATACTTAAGAATTGGGAAGCACCTGATGAAAGACAAGCTAGTGACAAAAACTGCCTTTTTAAAATGAGAGCTCTCTCTATCACCAGCCTTAGAAGAGGGTATGTGGGTACCGGCAACATTCTAGCAAAACCTGGCAAGGAATTCTCGTCGAGCTGAGAGGTGAACCTGGTAGACTTCTCGGTCAGCCACATTTATT